CCCGAAGCCCTAAACCCCAAACCCAAAACCCTTGCTTGACACTGCCCATCAACCTTCAAGCAGGAAGGTGGCGGTTTGTGACTTGCCTGCAAAGTTTCACCAACAATCATGCAAAACAGGCGAAAACCCAATCCTTAAGCAACTACTCAGAGCCCAGGTAGTCAAATAATACATACTCCGGTCTTGAAGTAGTCCCTATATGGGTACGTTGGGTCAGAGTATATACTATCTGGGCACATGGACCCTTAGGGTAGTATAGACGCCCCGAAATACTAACCTACATTAGTAGAAAGCAAAACCCGAGTTTTCCTGGCCAGGGTGTTGGGTGTTCTGGGTCCTTTTGAATCCCTAACCCCCACTTCCGTAGAGGGTATATCTCTTGGCGATCCTGATAATGGAAAGCATCCCCAAAAAGGACGAGCTGTAAAGCTGATGCCACCACAGTTTGCAATCAGGACCACTAAGACTCCTTTCTCGAAGCCCAGCAGCTCAACCTAATACGGGGGACTCTTTTGGAATAGGCTTCCGTTTCAGGGAAATCACCTGAAAAGCCCATAACCTCGAGGAGATCTGGAACAGCTGGATTTGCTGTCGGGGTTTCAAAGCCACGTCCAACGAAGTGGACCAAGGTTTGGTTTAGGGTTTACGGCTAGGAAGTAAACTAGGGTTTGGGGCACAGTGTAGTATAAACATATCAGGGACGATAATGTAGGGGGCTTAATAATTCGAACGGATTCTTGGGGGTCCTTATTATAGATAGTATAGTATCATATACCCCAAACCCTATTCCAATTATTAAGGCCCCGATATTAATGGGACATGACATGACATTATGATTTGATCCCACGAATCCGGTTCTAGGATTGTAGGCTTCACTTCACGGCTTGGGGCACTTCACAAGCAATATAGACCAAAGGCTCTAAGGACTCATGGTTTTAGGGTTTCGGGTTTGGGCACCCCAGAAAGGGGTATATGGTCCCTAACCCTACGGCTCTAAGGACTCACATTTCGAGGCCTTTGGGCCCAAAGACCCTAGTATGTGAGGCTTTTGGGCTATTTGGAGCCTTCGGGTAGGCGACTGTATGTTTTCAATATACACCGGAACCCTAAGGGACTGTGTTGAAAAACTATCCAGGCTTCTATCTCAGGATGGAAAGGGGACAAGAAAACATAATCTAAGCCCCAAGCCCTAAACCCCGAAAGCCAAAACCCCTAAACCCTAAACCCCTAAACCCTCAACCCATAAACCCGAAGCCCTGATGCGGGGGCTCCTACAACGGCTAACCATTGCCACCAGCAGGCCCGGATTTGTGAGTCTTGGTGAAATAGCCCAAGACCTGGAAGCTGAATGCTTGTTAGGGAAACCACGATTTAGGGTTTAAGGTCTAGGGTTTAGGGGCTATAAGGTTTAGGGTTTAGGGTTTAGGTCTTAGGATTTAGGGCTTAGGGTCCGGAACAAGGAAACCATGCTAGTCGTTCTAACTTACGGTCTATTCTGGAATCAAGGATATTGGGCTCTCTGCGTGTGTGAAAAAACTCATCTCCGTTCGAGGCGCGCTAGAAGCGGAAGTATCGCTCTGTAATACAAGGACCTTCATAATTAGACAAGGAGTCTTGGTCTATTCTATTCTGGCTGGATTCTTGGGTCAATAAGATTGTAATAGGGATCCTGATGCACGAAAATGGGCCATTAGTCAGGGCCCAAGTACGGATTTACAGTATCAAAACATACCCTCCTGCGGAAGTTAAACACTTGGAACAGAAACGGGAGATCCGACGTCTGTGGAGGTTGGGACATACGGATGTTGCAGATTTCTGGAGCCCTGGCCCTAGCCCTCAGGCTCAAGGGACTCACACTTTTCAGGCTTTTGAGGCCAAAGACCATACTATAGGAGGCTTTTGGGCTAGTTTGAGCCTTAAAGTAGGTCAGAAAGCCTGCAATTCCTTTCCCCCAGACTCTATGTACAAAGGCGGCTCTGGAATCCCGCTTAACTAACCCTAATCCATCCCAGCCCCCCTCGCCCCCAATAGACACGGCGAGTTAGCGAATGGATAAACTAGCGTCCAAATCTCACAGTTTCACTCAGCAAACAAATCCCCTAAACCCTAAACCCTAAACCCTAAACCCCTAAACCCTAAACCCTAAACCCTAAATCCCCAACCCTGAACCTTCAAACCCGAGGCCCTAATTGCTCCAAACGCCTTGACGTGCGTGCGTGCGCGCTTGCCCCGGCGGTCCAGCTTCGCTTTTTGGCCCATGGCCTTCAACTTAGGGCTGGGTACTAGCTTACATATAGATGTCAAGGTAGATAGATAGATAGATAGATAGATAGATAGACAGATGGATGGATGGATGGATGGATGGATGGATGGATGGATGGATAGATGATGGATAGATAGATAATCGAGTTGTAAAAACCCCCAACAGGCTAGCGTTTACCTACACAGCCCCTGATGAAAGTTAGGGTCTGGCAGGGTTGAGTGTAAGCTAAGGTCGGGCAGGGAGTGCGCAAGAAAAAAACAAACCTCAGGGGTTCTCTAATTTGTGGGGTCCCTTTTGGGGTGGTTCCTGAAAGGGATCTATAAGGGTGTCTATAAGCGCTTTTATAAGGGGACCATTAAGGGTTCTATGTGGGTAGTTCTCTAATTAGGATCCCCTTTAGGGTCCTGTTTGCAAGGGCGCTGTACTATTTGGGGGACCTAAAAAGCGACCCTCATCTAGAGAACTACCCACATGCTTTCAGAAACAAGACTTACGACACGGAGTATTGCGCAACGTGCAAAAAAGCCCAGTAGCAACAGCCATAACCCTACTACAACCTGTGCCGCAATTCCGTGGCACTAAAGCGCTGGATCCTACGCCGTCTCACCCTACTACTGAACCCAAGACAGCACGAAACAACTGCGAGGACCTCTGCAATGGCAGAGATCACCAGGGCTTATCATCTCCCGGCTCATCCTTTACGGGTTTAGGGGTTTAGGGATTTCGGGTTCAGGGGTTTATAGGGTTTAGGGGTTTAGGCTAGGGTTTAGGGGTTTGGAGTTTAGGGTTTAGTGTTTAGGGGTCTAGGGGTTTCAGCGGTTTAGGGGTTCAGGGGTTTTGGGGTTTTGGGGTTTATAGGGGCTTCAGGGGTTTAGGGGCTTAGGGGTTTCAGGGTTCAGCGATTAGGGTCTAAGGGTTTATAGGATTTAAGGGTTGTAAGGGTTTCGGGTTTAGGGTCTGCAGCGGCAGCCTCGAGATTACGGTCGACGGTTTGCTCCACCTTGTCGATGTAGCCTGAGAGCTCCGGCTTATAGAAGTTTACTGAACCCTATACCCCCCAGAGGCTCCAGATAGACTACCATTATGGAATTGGGCCCCAGAAGACCATCCTTAATATGGCTTTAAGGGCCTAATTCCATAATAGTACTGTATATGGAGCCTCTGGGCCCTATACCCTAAGCCTCTGCAGCCTGTACCCAACGGCTGAGCAGTTTATTTTGGAGGGTGTAGGGCTTAGGGTTTCGGACCTGCCCCAAGATGGCGCTTTGCGGGGTTGTGACAAGTACTTCTATGGAAAGAGAAGGTGTCTATCGGGATCGCTAGGGTCCTGCGGGGCTTTAGAGTTGCCGTGGCTTTGGGTCTAACGTAGCATGCTTCGCAGGCTTCGGGCCGTCATTGGATTGGTATGATATTCATGATTTGGGGGTGCAGGACGCACATGTCAATGACGACACGGTCAGTAGAAACACCCTAAGGGTCCAAAGAACCCAATATTTGGGTACTGGGGTTTCGGTTGGTAATTAGTTATGTAGGTTTGCATTCATGAGAGTGGATGATTCCTAAAAGGTCCGTGTACCCGCACACACTTGCACAACACTTTAAATTACCTAGCTAAGGAATAGATCCAGGCCAAAGTGTACACATATTCATACACGAGCACATGGACCCTTAGGATAAGTTTGTACTTATGACACTACTTGGAGGCCCAGGGGACTTAGTAAGTAGGTTATAAGTAGAGTTATAAGTACCCTAAATGGAGTTACCCTAATTATAACCTTACTTATAACCGACTTACTAAGTCCCCTGGGCCTCTAAGTATATCAGTATCAGGTATGGAAGATCCAGGGGCTGCTGCAAAAATCAAAATAATACCCTGAAACCTTAAAGCAGCAGATCGTGATCATGGTTGCCTTAGATGAAGAGTTAGGTTGTTCGGGGTTCACGTAAAGCCTATACCGTATGCAGGCCTACACCACTTCGTCGACACCTTCATCTTCAAACCTCACTGTTTGAGGTTGATCAGGTTCGCTTAAGCCAACACTGTCCACACAGCCCAACAGCCCGACGTGCAATAATTTGTCAGCAGGGAGAGCGGGGCTTAGGGTTAGATTATAGCATACTTATGAGAAACAGCTAGAAGGAATACTCGTTATTCCAACCCCTACTAAACCCTAAACCCTAGACCCTAATGTAGGGGCCTAAATAATTACCAATACCATTGTTGGGGTATGCTGATTACAGTATCGCAACCCTATTCCAATTATTAAGGCCGCTATATTTCACCATGGTGTGGTTCCGGGGGGGCTGGATCCGCCAAAAGAGTCTTAGATTTTGGCCTTCGGTTACCTCGATTGGGCTCCCGGACCGTGGACCAAACACACGTACCTGATGCAGCCGGCGGTGTCGGGTTTAGGTTTAAGGGTTTAGGGTTTAAGGGCTTTGGGTTTCGGGTTGGGACATGCGGAACCCTAAACCCTAAACCCCCCAAACCTGCGTAAACCTCGAACCCCAGCACCCAGCAACGGCAGCCCGACCGCATGAGAAGTTTAGGGGTTTAGGATTCGGGTTTAGGGTTTATAGGAGTTCACCACCTCCACGAGGTGTTCAAGGTAGGCCCGAATCGCCTCTGCACTGCGTACAAATCCCTTTGTAGGATCCAGGATCGCGCTAACAAGCCTACAAGACAAAGATTTCGGGCGAGGATTGATTCCCAAACGAGCACATCAATCTTGTATTAAGGACCCAAGAGTTTTGAAGCCTTGATATTTTGACTGAACGTTCCAGGCGCACAGCTTCCGCACGTAGTGGCGATGGAAGCACTCACGCATCTGCGTGCGTGACTTCTTCGTGACGCCGACGAGCACAGTGCCTGTCAGGTAGGGTATAGGCTGGGTCCCTCAATGAGGCCTCGAGGTGAGTGTACGTCTGACGAATGGTACTACAAGCTCTTTTTGATGTGACCTTTTGAGACCGAAAGTCTAGAATTTGGAAGTCTTTCGCATACTGTTGTCTTCTGGCGGCCAATTTGCAATAATATAGGGGCCTTAATTCTTAATAGTTACAATAAGCTGTTAGGCCCCTTATGCTATAATTATAATAAGGAACCCCACATCCCTATTCTAAATCTTTAAAGCCCCTACATTACCAGGAGTACATCGCGAGAGATGGGTCATCGAACAGAGGAGCTACAACCCGGGCTCTGCACAGGTGCAGTGCCCGATCTGCTGAACAGGCGGTTATACCGAAAAACCTGAAATCCTAAACTGAAAAACCCTAAACCCTAAAGCCCTAAACCCTACAGCCCTAAACCCTATAAACCCTAGAAGCCCTAAATCCTAAACCCTACACCCTAAACCCTAAACCCTAACCCCAAACCCTATATAAACCCTAGAAACCCTAAACCCTACACCGAAGAGCCACATTCCACGCTTCATCCTGCTGCAAGAACTCTCCCGCAATCGCTTAAGGGTCCCAGTGCTGTTTTTGTTGAGTTTTCAGGCTTACGGTTTGTGTCTAGGATTTCGGGCTTAGGGTTTGGGGTTTAGGGTTTTGTGGGTCCTTTGTGGGTAGCGAAACCCTTGAATAGGATTGCATACGAGAGTCCATGTATCCATACAGTATAGACTTGTGACTTGGGCCTAAAGTAGGGTTTAGGGTGTAGGGTTAAGGAAAACATGAGTTTATGGACCCTGATTGAGGAATTGATGCGGATCGTTCTACAGCAGCCTTCCGTTCAGGGTATCTAGTTACCGGCCACAAAGACCCCGACACAGAACTCATATAAGAGCCTTGATAATTCGAACAGGGTATGGGGGCCCATTAAACCATAGTTACAATAAGGAGCCCCCCAAAATAGTCTTATAATTATTTAGGCCCCTATCTTACAATGCAGGTCACGGCAGGGTTTGGCACTATCTTTCCCAGACTTGAATATCGACATCCCTAAACCCTACCTGAACCCCAAAACAGGAGTTTTTAGGGTCTAGGGTTTAGGGTTCACAATATAAGTCCTTAGAAGCATAGGTTATTTGGGGTCCAGGTAGACATTGTAAGCCCGATACACCCTGCTAGACTCCCATGTAACACACACACAGCCTTGGTACGCAAGGTTCTTTATTAGTTGTGCATGTACGTGCTGGGTGACGAACCTAAACAAACTACGTGTATCCCCAAAACCTACAAACTAGTAGGCTATGACACGCTCAATAGGCTTTTTGAATCCTCAACCCCCCACTGTAAAACTAGCCCAACACTAAACCCTGAACCTTACAACTCCCGGAACCCTGTGAAAGGCACCGCTGGTTTCTCGATCCAGTCGGTGGCAGAGGCCATAGTTCTGGTCCTGGCACGGGCCATGCGGGCTTAGGGCCTCGTGTTTAGGGTTTAAGGCAAAAGGAGTTTAGGGTTAAGAGAGGAAGTATATAACTTAAGCACCCGAAGAATTGAAATAGCCTGTGTGGAGGATAGTATATCATAACTATGCTATTCTATATTATACAAACATGTGTTCAGTTTGTGTTATCAGCCATACAAGTTGTATTGGTTGAGAATTACAGTTGTTGCCTGTGCTTGTAACGGCGCTAAATTTCTTATGTGTATACACTTCTGCACTTACAACGTGACAACAATCGCTTTCAGCCAGTTAAGCATAGATCCCTGAAGGCGCACTTTTCCAACTGCTTTCACTTCGGTGGCGCTTCTGCGATGTGACTCTCTCGGAGTCTGATCTTTCGTATCGAAGTAGACCTGTAATTCTTACAGAAAGGTCTCTCGATATCTTGGAGGTCCGACCGTTTCCCGGTCG